CCTTCGCTCTTTTATCCCAAAATTATCAAATTCTGCCAGTGATAAGTTAAGATTAATCGAATATCTTTACAACATGCATGTTTTCTTTATTATCGAAAACCAAGATTTCAAAAACGAGGAAACTTTCGTCAAATTTTATTATTTCGATATTTCGAAATAGCTCGAGGGAAACGATTCTATTCCGTATAAATTACTTTCTAAAGAAAAAAAAAAAAAAAAAAAAAAAAAAAAAAAAAAAAAAAAGAGAGCAGAGAACGATCAGCTTATGATACGATTGAAAAAAAAAGATTTAGGTACTACTGTGTCGTTATTCATCCGGGGAAAGGAAAGAACACGGTGCGCTGTGTAGATATTGCGTAGCCATAGCTTGCATATGTGCGGGAGTTGAATTACGTGGTGCGAGTGTAAAGGAAGAGAAGAAAGGAGAAAACGTATTAAAAGGATATAAGAGAGCGGGCCGCGACCGCAAACTGATTAAATGCGGTTTACCCAGGCTACGCTGCGAGCTTTGGTATACGCCACACTCGTGTAAGCTACACGAGGAAACTCCTTACGATCGCGTTATGATCTTGCGAACATCTACTCCGTTTCCATCGTTTCTCTCCAACGATCGAGTCGAAATTGATCATCGAGTTGTTTTTTTTTTTTTGACGGAGTATCTCGAGTGCGAGGATCACGGTTAAATCACGGTTAAATCGCGATTGAAACGATCGATCGATTCGATCGAGGGAGATAGCGTTTCTGCATCAGATTAAAAGTTATCAGCGACACCGAAATATCGAAAATTTTATTTACATATTGGTAATACCTCGCGATAACGAGGAAGCCATTTTGAAAAAATTTCATCGAAAAAACGAATTGCATCGTACAAGGATCGTTTAAAGATCGAAAGAAGACGCGTTTAATCTTTGTTTTTATTCGTAATTTAACCATAATATCGCAATAATGCAGCACTCGACGAGGCAGTCTCGCTCAGAGACAATATTTTTAAATCGTATACATCGTATAAAAATTTAAATCTATCATGGTCGAGGGAAGAAAATTTCTGATCGTTCCAGGAAAAGAGCAGATAAGAAATAAATACGAATTTGAGGAAACACGGCCGTTTAATTTTTTCGCAGCGTTTCTTCGTAATGGCGTTTCCTCGTCAAAAGGGAAAATGAAGAACGGCGTTAAGAGGGACCGGGAGACGTTCCGCTTGTTCCAATTGATAAGCGAGGTAACAAAGGTTGCGGCGTCGTATCGTTCGATGATTTAAGCGCGTGGTAGTAGGTTTCAGGTATTGGAGGCAGGTATTTCGAGCCCTACGGCGCTGGCATTTGTCACCTTGGGTAATTAAGCGCGCACCCCAATTTACCCTTATTCCGGGGCAAGCCCTTGGTCTCTGGAGTTTTTGTTCGGTTCCTTCCGGGGCGAGTCGAAAACGGTGTTGCGCGTCGTTAGGTAGCACGACACCAACGGGCCGAGATAGCCAAGATAAAGGATCGTGTCTCGCGGCGATCAAACGTGCCGATCTTCAGGAGCGTAGCGAAACGTTTGCCCAACTTATTTCGAAATAACAAACGCGCTTCATTTAATTTTTTACTTAGTACGGCCGATCAACCGTTTAAGGCTTTGCGTAACCGGCCTTCCCCCTCGTTTACAGGGAACAGGGGTCTCGACCAGAGATTTACATAGACTCCGGGGGAACGTGTCGGGAGAACTGTGTCAATATGGTACGGCCCTGCGAGGTGCCAAACTCTCTCTCTCACTCTCTTTCTCGCACAACAGCTCTTCCCTTTTCCGTGAACGGAAAATTAGACCATTCGGGATACGAATTTTGGCGACAACTAGCCGGAACTCTAATAAGAGCCGAACGAATCTTGGCTCGGCTCTTTTTCCATGAATTTTTACCGACCGATCCTTTTCCAAACAGTTCCGAGATACCGGCAGAAATTAATTAACGATGCTCGGGGCAAATATTGGCTTCCACGGGCGGGTCGTTAATTATCTTTTAAAAAATTCGGCATATCGTTGGTAAACCGTTAGCCGGTTTGATTCTATTATTTAAAAAGAAGGAAGAAGAAAAAAAAGTCGTACGAAACGATTATTTAAAAAGCGATTTAAACCCGTTTGTTGTATCGTTTTGTTGTCTGTTATCGGGGTATCGGATTTCTCGCATCATAAGCAAACTGCAACACCGCGAGGCTTAGAAAAATTGGAAATTTTTTGCGTGGCGCGCAGCACTCGCTCTGACATTCTGCCGCGAGCGCACCTATGCGAAATGCTTGCACGCGCAATGTAATTCTCCACCACTGGACGCCGACGCGTGGAAAGCAGAAGCGCGGCTTTCCGTTCTCGCGGGACATTCCGTCGCTCGTCGATCGATAATTAATCGTCTGGCTGCGTCGGTTGGGACGGGGCCGTTGCTCGATCTCGGCTACGAAACTTTTTTCCCTCCTTTTTTCCGATCTTTCAAATTCTTCTCGAAACGATCGAAGTTTGGCCCGGTTCGGCGGTCACACGCCATCGACATCGTCGTATCGAGATACATTTAAAATAATAACCGTGGCGTTGACACTGTCTTGGGAAAACAAACTTGGATCACCTTGGTTCGGATTGCGTAACAACGACGCAACGGCGCGTCATCCTCGGTGTATGCTCGATTCAACGAGAAGACGGCCTGTAGATGTGTGTAATTTATATCGCGTGGCCGTCATTCGGTCGCTGCGAAATAAAAATAATAATAATAAGCGACGAGTATGGAGAAAAAGAAAAGGAAAAAAAATAAGAAAAGAATCGATGGAATATCGAACGCGACTATACCACGATACCGTTTTCGTTGTTCACGATTTTCACTTTTAAATCAATAGAATTTAAAAACAATTTTTAAATCGTTCGCGTTGCAATGAAATCGAAAGAAAGAAAAAAAAGAAAAGAAAAGAAAAGAAGAAAAGAGAAAGAAACAACGAGCGATAAAATTATATAGTCGATCGAGTTTGTAAAATTTTCGAAACGAACGATAGATTATCTTGGAAAAGAAACGTATTAAAGGAAAACGCATATTGGAAAACGTATAAACAAAACGGTGAATTTCTTCGACGTTGATTTATCGAAGGAAATGTACGTTTATCGATAAAAATGTATGATCACGAGTATCGATTATCGTTTCTCTCTCTCTCTCTCTCTCTCTCTCTTTTTTCAGCAATAGATGAAAACGCGAAGGAGAAAGCGAGACGAACGATATCATCGAAGCGTACCTGTCGAAAAAGGGTCCGTCCCCCATTTTTTGAAATCACGCTCGAGTCGACTTTACCAACCCATCGTGAAACGTCGTAGACACATTTTGCGCGCGTTTCGTTAGCAGCGAACGCAGCGCGGCACGCTACGCGCGAGAAAGAAAGGATGGATGGATGGAGAGGGAGAGAGAGAGATGGATGGATATCGGTAGGGTTGCAAGGGTAAACGAAACCCGTAAACGAAAGGGTCGATGGGGAGGCAAAAAGCGGGGATGAGAGGGGCAGGGGATGAAAAGGAGAGGAGAGAGAGGAAAAGGTGGTGGAAGGGAGAGAGAGAGAGAGAGAGAGAGAAAGAGAAAAAGAGAGAAAGAGTGGGAAAGAGATATTTAGGAGGGGGTAGTAAGAGAGAGAGAGATAGTAGGAGGAATGGAGGGGCAGGCTCGTGTACGGAAGGAGTGGAGGGGTTGGAGGAGAGGGGTGGGGGTACGGCCTAGGCAAGGAACGGCAGCAGGGCAGCGGCCAGGTAAGCGAGGAGCGAACACTAGTAGGGCTGACTCGCGCGCCTCCGAGCCTCCGCGACTCTCACAACCAGCGGTTGTATATCGTCGAGTGCTACGCGTTCCACGCTAGTGTTGTTGCGCTCCCACCGTCGCCGCTACGCCGTAGTTGTGCTCGTGCAGTGACAACGCGCCGTGCTCCAACGTGTTGATCCATCGGCCGACCGATCTCCTCCGCTCCACCGAAACGCAACCATTATCGACCACCGCCACCGATTCCGTCTCTTTTTCCCCTT